TTTTTTTTAATATATATATATATATATATATATATATATATATATATAAATGGACACATAATGGAAAATGAATCCTCATATGAGAAAATAGAAACATGTCCATCTAATACCTCGTGGTCCATTTCTCCATTTTCAAGGGGTTCTTCTTCATCCATTCTCATGTTGCTGAAAGCTTCTACAAGGTTGGAAGTTGGTCTATCAGCATAATTTCCATAATCTGCTGCTGGTGGGTATACACCCCTACATAAAATTAGAAAATAACCTTGATGAAAAATTTTCACAATAAAATTGTGCACAACACTTAGTCTCATAACTGGGAATTAGTCCACACTAGTGTTAAATATGCCCATTCATTAAGCCCTGTTGAATTCATACTCCAGCAATAAGAGGAAAGGAGTACAAATAGAAAAAGAGATGTAAATTTTTTTCAAAGAGAAACAGTGTACAAGCTACAAAAGATCCACACAAAGGGGAATAGTGGTCTATATACACCTTTCCTCTGCGACTCTAGCTTCAACAGCATGTGCAATTTGCCAGTGCTCAAACATGTTGGGATATTCTTCAGGATCAGCCAAAGCTTCTGCTGCTTTCTGGTTAACCTACAGGCCGAAATCATGCAGAAAACTAGGTTCAAAATCTGACAGGAATTCTGAGTGATATGGTTGCAAATAATTCTGCAGACTGTTTCTTACCCATAAAAGACAACCTTTTCTGCAGTTCTCTTACTACTTGCACTCAAGTTCAAATCATTTTTTTAACAAAGAAACTCAAATTCTAATCGTGAAGTTAAAAGGATGTCTGTATCGAATATAGGGTGTTTTCAGGCCACATTGGCCGCTGAGAGAAATTGACAGAAATATTTCATGGCTATTTTCAGGCACATGCAAATGCAAGCAAAAGTTGGAAAAGAGAACACACACGTCAACACCAGCAAATTTGTATGTCTTATCACAGGCATAACAGTACCATCAAAGAGCTCCTAAGTTCCTTTGCACTGTTAACTTAAAGGTCAAAAAGCATGATCCCCGCAACATGAGGCTGAAGCATTGTACTTTATTTCTTTATTTAGTTTTAAAAAGATTAAAACGAAAGTAACATATTTTTTAAAAAAACTGACCAAGAGAATACACAGCTCCTTAAATAGTGGACAATGTAAATCTAATAGCAATCACAAAAATGAATATCACTGACCTTATTAAGGTCCTTCCTCCACATTGCAACTATTTCAGAAACCTTACTTGGAAGGTAAGATCTTGCCATAAATGCAGCCTCAGGTATCCGGTTGCTGCAAAGTAATTGCAATAGAGAATATCATTCCAGAGTTGACAACAATCTGACAAGTGGCAACAAACTGAAGAGGATCTCAAACGACAAAAGTACCTGTCAACCAACAGCTGAACACAATCTTCCATTTTACCCAGGAGGAACAGGCAAAGGAATGCAACATTGTTTCTTCCATGCTCTTTTGCAAGAGATGCTAATTCAGCAATTCCTTCAGCATCTCCTAATGAGGAATAAAGCAGCAGCAAACCACTCAAGTCATTAGCGTATTTCAAACAATCCTCTGCCATCTCCAGCTGCAAAATATAGAACAGCAATATTGATAGAGAATCCAAGTAAAGAACAGTTGGTAGGAGTAAGGTTTGTGTACACCCCACCATCCCCAGACCCCATTTGTGGGATCACACTGGGTATGCTGTTATAATCCAAGTAAAGAGTACTAAGAAGAATGACCAGGAGGCTGCAGAAATCAACTACAAACACCCTTTACCACTGAACTACAAACAGAAACATTCGGTAAACTGTCACAGGCAAAAGGACAACCAACAGAGTTCAGAACCTTAACCATAGATTTTTCCAGCAGCAAAAAAGGTATGGGCCATGAGTTTTCTGCTAAGGAAACTTTCGGAGAGCTGACTTGGAATTTCTGATATATACTAAGGAGCTCAAACACTGACCATTTGTAAAACTCATCAATTTACTTGTTTTTGAAAATTCAAGTGGTTTATGTTCCCCCTGGTAAACATTTGTTTTTTAAAAAAAGGGGCTCAAGTGGCTGTAAGTATCAATTACCATTCCAGCAGACATTGCCAGTTCACCCAACTGCTTCCATTTGGATTCACTCTGTGCTACTACAGCAATTTCCTGCAAACAAGAAGGGGCACATGCCCATACTTAACAACATATGGTTCTTCTGACAGAGACAAGTATAAAGGAAGAGAGGCTGAAGTCAAACCGCACACTTTCGCGAGTTAGTAGCCCTTACCTTTGCAATGTCTAATTTACCCAACTGTATGGCAAGTTCAAATCTGTAGTCAGCGTCTGTTGCAACTTCCAATGCTTCCTCAATCATACCTCGTGATTCCAAGAAACGAGCAACACTACAGGGAATCATTTCATCACAACTTAGAGAACTTGATAATCCCATCATATAAGACAGAAATAAATCCACCACCTCCCAAGGCTTAACTACTAAATACACTATATTAATGCAGATCCCAATAGATCATAGGAAAAATAAGAACATGAATGACTGCATTCAATCACATAGCATAGCAGCAAGAATATCCTTTTATCTAATAAATGCATCCCTTCCAAAAGTCAGGGCTTGTAGCACGTATTAGCACTAAAATTACTACGGCTATCAAAGTAACTTTAGCAGTGTGTGCCACACCCCCAGGATAATAAACAATTTTACATCAATACAACAACTGTGTTCACAAACTAGATGGGATGGGCTATATGAAACCTCAAAATCCATTTCATACCATTTGGACACATTTCACTCCAATACTCAATAATGTGTCTTAAGAAAACAATTTACATCATAGACTACACTAAAATGATGTTTGTATTTTTTAACTGCCATTTTGTCACATTTTGCAACTGTGTTCGAAGACGAAGGAAAAATCGCAATCAAACACAATTCATTAATCATATTCACAGAAAAAAACATATTACAAGAAGAATAGAGATGTACCTGTTATGGTGATCCTTAGGAATTGATGGTAAGACCGCATTAGCTCTGTCCCAGTCACCACGCATCACAAGTGTCTTGTACTCTATCAAGCTGAGCAGAAGAGTATATCCCACGACACTGTAATGAAAAGAATATGGGTCATCATAGAAGAATCATACTTGAAATAATTTTTCTAGTTCCTGTGTGAGAAGCTGTCATGAGCCTACTCACTTGAACTCTTTGTCAATCAGGAAAACTCTACTTTGATTAGCGAGATATCCCAGCAGGTACATGGGTCGGTCTAAGTGAAACATTGTGGTCACCTAAAGATCGTAAGAAACACTGTTACTCACCTTAATGAGATGAGACATACTGAAAACAAAGAGGTCCATAAAACTGCATGAATGACTTTTCATACCTCGCCGCCTACACAGTAATTCAGTCTCGAAGAAGAATTGTTGTAAATGAAACAATCTCCGACCCAAATTCCAGTTCTGACACGTTCATTTATTTCATAAAGAAGTTCAAAAGCATCTTCAACACCTTGGTCATCTACAGATCTTCCACTATCTAAATGTGCAGAAACAACATCGCGCTGCAGGTTTAACAAAAGGACAATCATAACACAATAGCTTGCAAAGAAAAGATATAGTAGTAGTTTAAAAATCTGAGAAAGAGAGCTCTCACATTATACTTCAGTATGTAGAATGAAGTATCACTAGCAATAGCCACCAGATCACCACTGTCAGCCCAGTAGAGGTTCTGAAGTAGTTGAAGCAAAAAAAAAACAAATGATATTGTAACAACCATCAAAAGAGTAAAGGACCAACATAGCACTTATGGAAGTCAAGCTTATATATCTTACTTTGACATTAACATCAATCCGTCGTATCAACCTGCACTCAATCCAATCGTAGAAGCAAATGAAATCATTTGAGCACATTGCCAATAAGGTACCCCCATAGATGTGCTCAGCAGAGAAAGTAGGGCGAATACTCTTTTTTTCCTGGAGATATCAGCATATTCACTTCAATCCAGGTGAACAAAAGAAACTACAACACAATGCACCCTTCAGCTTCAAGACGAAGAGAAGCTAAATGCATTAAAGAACTACAACTTACTGCATGCACATGAACCCAAATTTACTTGTCAGGCCTCTACGAAGCAACAAATTAAGGGTACGAAATAGGAGAGAGAGAAAAGGAGATTGAGTAAGAGGGGATAACATCTAATAGTGGGGTCCATTATTTAAAGTAACATCATTAGATTAAATAACACATAATCTGAAGCATAACACAAAAGTAATCCAAATTTGGGAGGGAGGCAGTTGTGAGGACATTCATGAAACCTGGAAATTTTTGCTGAAAATCTTAATCTTTGAAGTACTTTCTCTGATAGCATACTCTCCATCAGACGACCAAACAAATTCCAGAGCTGAGCCAAATGACCTATTTCTCCAGGCCAGAGCAGTATATATGATATACTCACCGTCTCCACAAACAACGACAAACCTTCCATTTGGGTTATGCTTTAAGCTCTGTGAAGGAGGAGAAAAAGAATCAGATCAACAGTAAGTGGCATCTAAGTAATTACATCCTTTAACCCTAAGAGGGAAACTAGTATATTCCAAGCACAACCTCAAACTATGAGAAGATGACTAAAGAACCAATAAAATGACACATCTTTAAGGACATAAGGAAAGCAAAGAAGCAGGTACATAAGTCATATCTTCTGGGATAAGCATCACTACTACAAAATGGCTTCCCATGGAAGTCTGAAGAGAGAAACTGTACAAAACGAAAACCAGAAATCAGATTAAGGGAGGATTGGTTTCAAATCTATGGATTGCTATTTTAACGAAAATAGCAAGTCTTTTACTAGAAAGAGGATACAGTTTATGCAACCCAAACAGGATAACCTTACATGAATAACAATTGAAGTATTGAATTATGGAACCAGATCCAATTCACAGTTGCAAAGCAGGTGATACAAGATTATACAAAATGCCAGGTATTAGCTGTGAATCTGACTCACTTGTGGGTATAGGTCACAAGTTCCCAATTCCTTGACTGCCAAAGGCAATCTTTCTCCATCAGTAACCTGATATAAAGCAAATTATTCATAAAACAATATCCAGCAGTAATTGAGGAGGTGACAGGAAAACAATATTCTGTAATTTGAATCAGGCGAGCAGACTTGAAGGAAATTGATGCCATACCTCATAATCCGCACCCACACTCTTGATGTTAATAGTTTGAACCTCATTGTGCTTAGCCCATATGACTTTTCCACTATTATCCATGCTAGCAACAGGTACCTCTCGACCAAGTTTTACCATAATGGTTCCCTCATCGTAACCAATTACAACCCTATACATTTAATACATACATTAATTATAACTGCAGCTAGCTGAACAAATGCAAATACAAAGAAAAAGATGAAAATCATGATCTACTCCTTAGCTCTTTAATATTTCCTAGTTTCAAAATTTTTATTTTTGTAAGCTCACGATTCAATTAACATTGGCTATTCCCTCTTTCCTCGTTCAAATATAAAAAGAAAAGAAAGAACTGAAAATCAAAGTAAATATGGATATCGTTAGACTTCCAAGCAGATAAAAAATACAGCTATAAATTAATTATAGAAACTCACCTTCTTGAACCTTTCATGTAACCAATAGCCCAAACTCTTTCAAGGCCATAATTCAACGTGTTCTCGAGTCTGCGCGAAATAATTATTTAAAAAAAAAAGAAGATTAAGAAATGAAACAAGAGTTATGAGAGGATACAATCACTCAGAAGTCAGAACCAGAGGAGTGCTTACAAAAGTGAAGGAAAAATTCATCAGTTTATCTTAGGCAAAATAATAGAAATGCATCAGTTTTCAAAAGAGATAATTCAAAACTTTGTCAGGTTTACAAGAAAATGCAAATCAACAAAAAGATAAACAATTAAAACCCAAGCACCTAGAAAAGAACACAAGAAATCAGAACCAGAAGGTTGTATAAAAAATTAATGAAAAATCATTTTGAAAAGGTAAAGTCACCAATAGATGAGATGCATTGCTTTAAGTGGTAGATGGAGAATTTCATCTTCTCGTTAGGTAAAATTCTAGAAACACGTCAGTTTTCAAGGTTTAATTGATTAGTTTAATCTCAGAGTGAAAAATAAGAAGAAAATTAGCACTGCAGCTAATAGCGTAGAGTGTTTTAACTATGTTAACATGTTAGTCAATTGATATAGATACAGGAAACATAATTCATCTTTAGTAAACAGCAATGCAAAAGAGGATATCAAAACGTTGTTATCGATCTACTCAAATTCTTAAAAAGAATATTCCATGCTGAAAACAAGAGAGGTGTCAATTTCAGCAGCATGTATGTGCGTGCGATATTCATGGAACCTAACTAAGTTGCTCGGACTTGGGTGCGGGTGTCCGATCCGGGTGCGGATCTAGATGTCGGATCCTTCATGATCTAATTTTTAAGATTCGGGGATATGGATCCATGTATGGAACGGGTGCGGGGATTCACCTAAAAATAATTAAAATATCTAAAAAGAAAGTTATAAAACCTAAATTATGATATATTTGTGGAGAACTTGATGAGAATCCTAGAAGGAGATTAAAGGATAAGGAGTGACATAGAAATTTCTATATAAAAGGTATTCCATTTTCTTTATTAGCTTTTGTATTGATTATAGAAATCATTAAAATTGTCCACACTTTCCCATCGATTTTGGTCAAAGTATGGTCAAAGTACCCGAAATTGGTTGACCAAATCAGACACGGATCCCACACCCACACCCATGTCGTGTCGACACGGGTGCGGCACCAAAAGTGAAGAGTCCGAGCAACTTAGCAACCTAATGCAAGATACATTCATCTAAGCAATGCCCCCACCCCCACCCCCCCACTCCCAGCCCAAAACACACACACACACACACACACAAATTCGGTAATTTGTGTTACATAATCTGTAGCAAAGAATTTCTTTTTGGAAAAAAAAGACAAAATTCCATAACAAATTAGAAAGGGAAAATGGACATACAATTTGGACTAAGGTAGTAGGGCGTGCATATCTTTCCATTTTCTTTTGATCCATTATCTTTCCTTGTATAAGGGGGGAGTAGTGCATATGTTTCAACAAAAACTGTATCTCTACAAAGGTGACACAGCTTGAAAGATAAAAATAAATATGTGCTGATTTATCCACCAATAGCATTACATAGGTCATCACTGTGATTCAATCAAAGAATATTTTTTTTTGATGAAGTGAATTGTTTCATTACCAGCATCAAGAAGATGCAAAGAGTACAAAAGAGATATGCTAGCTGCATTACATGATAAAAGTTGAGACCCAACCAAAGAATTCACATAGGTCATCATTGTAATTCAGTCAAATAATTCATATAAGCTACATGGCCGGTTCCACTGATTCATGCAACTCCAAACGATAGAAAGAAGTGGTTCCCTTTACAGATTACAACTAAATATGTCCATATTCATCCGCATAATCGCTGTCTTTAAAGTTACAGAAACTATATGTCCGACAATGTATTGAAACACAAGAAGTTGTGTCAAAAAATGAACGCCATGTCTAATAGTAATAGAACCTTGAAATAAGCTAAAATAATTAAATGATACTGAGTATTACCTGTAAGTAGTTGCATGCCAAATACGAACAGTACCATCTTCAGACCCCGTCATTATAATAGGAAGATCTGGATGAAAACATACAGCAGAAACATTGTGTGTGTGACCTTCAAGAGTCTGGACACAACTTCTTGTCTGATAGTCCCAGACCTGTTTCGTGATTCCAGAGCATATAACTCAGGTTCTATACAGGTGCAGTCAACAACAGAACATGGGAATAGGTTATTAGTAGCAAACCTTAGCAGTGTGATCATCAGAACCAGTAATTAGAAAAGGTTTATCACCACCAGTGAAATAATCAACACAATTAACCCCTTTCAGATGGGCATCCAGTGTAAAGTTAGGGTCAGGAGAGCCAAGGTTCCAAATCTACAAGTCAACCATTAACAGCCCCAATGTTACATAGGTGAACGACAAATATGATGTTATTTAGAAATTTATCATAGGAGGGAGGGGACGATAGGAAAGATTAAAAAAATTACCTTTATAGTCCGATCAAGAGATGCACTAGCAAAAGTATTGGTGTCTTTTGGATTAAATGTGACCTGCATCACATAATGGGAATGACCCTCAAAAATTTGAGTGCATACCCATCCCTTCTCCCAATCCCAGAGCTTTATAAGCATGTCATCAGATGATGACAGCACATATGGTAGTGTAGGATGAACAGCCACACACCTAATATAATCTGTGTGTGCCTCAAATACTTTGACCTTATCCATGGTATTATAATTGTATACACGAATAAACATGTCATCGGAACCAGCAACAATCCACTGTTTGCGTGCTATAAATTTCGCTGATCTTACTGCAAAGAAAAATTAAGGTGTTAAAAGGTACTGCAACCCTTTGTTAAAGCAGAAAGTTTCTTATGCACCCCCTGACCAACCAAAAATACCACTTTCATTCAATTAACGGACCTGGTAATTCAGTAACTTCAAAAGATTGTGCCATTGTCTGCATTAAAAATGAATGACGCATCAGCATTCTATAAATAATGTCATTACAATGTAACTTCTCTTCTATTAGGGGCATGCTGATACAGTTGCTTTTTCATACTAAGCTAAGAAGTATACATTTGCACACAAAGTGAAAAGAGTTATGTCTCATATGTATCAATGGTAGCTAATAGGTAAAGATACTATGAATACTGAACATACTTGGAACTACAGTAATTAGAGGATATCAATGGTGGAGAAATAATTTTAGGGGCAGTTCGGATTTCTGGGTACCAATTTTACTGATCTAACTTGGAGATGTTATCCCAAAGGTCAGGTGAGAGGAAAAGGTATGCGATACGAAAATGGAATACATACCTACATACAGGGCAAATCAAATTATGAGCTCAATAGTAATATCAGCTTTTCAAACAACCACTAACCAACAATTCTGGGAGCTACAACTATCAGCTTGTCTTTAAGTACAAATTGCTGGAAGTTCGCATAGTATCATCTTCGCACAGTCAGAACTAAAGCTACCAGCAAACATCGAAGGCTGCTTTGTGAGCATTACTAAGCACTCATTGAAAATCAACACCAATTCATCTTTGCATGGCCAGAGTTGCAACTACCATGCAAGTGCTTCTAATTGCCCGCCCACCCCCTAACTCCCTTTCTCTAAATTGTTAAAGATTCCTCAGAAGGATTTTCTAAAATGTTAAGATCAACGTATGACCATTATTCCAAGACCATAATAGCTGCTCCGTCCTTTTCATGTAATGTTCTTCCTTAGTTTGGGATTATGCTTACTTTTACAAGTAACTTTATCATGTATAACTTTCACAAGATTCAAGAATCCAACTTTAAAAAGAAGCAGCACAAGTTTGGATGTAATTTCCTATACCTGGGTCTGGTAGTTCCAAATGCAAATGGTCCCTGAATATAAACTTGTCAATATCCTGTGAACGAGAATAGAAAGAATGAGCCACAAGAACTATCATTTAGGTAAATGACATTATCGTTTCTACTATACCAGGCCCCCCATTCCCAAGAGAAACACAAACTTTGTAATTCAAAATTTTGCAAAGAGTTTGTTACTCCAAAACTTCATCATATAAAAATGTCACTCCAACAAACAACATTAGAGACTACAGAGCTAGCATAAACATCAAAACTGGAAAAAAAAAAAAAGGAAGTTACTATTTGTTTAGTAAATATGAGTTTCATTACCATGGCTCCGTAGGATGTAGATCCACGGCCTTTACCCTTTCTGATCTTTGAGCAAGTTTCCTCTGATCAAAGTACCACAGTCGGCATTAGTACGTATTGGCAATACAAAAATAAAAAACTATTTAATCCACCATTAATATTTTGAATACTGAAAAAGTATAGTACCTTAATCTCCAATCTTAGAGGCTGTGCCATCGCCAATGCAAAAAAAAACACAAAAAGGAAATGAAACTAAGTTAGTAAACAACAAATTATCAGATCTCAACTAATTCTCAGAACCGACATTGAATTTTTCCAATCCTCAACAGAGTGATCCGTTACCACCATTAAATCGAATTAGATTTGAATCAGATCTAAGTTTTAACGTAATGCGAACGCATTAACAACATACTGAAACTAATGGACGTACCATTTTCACCGACGAATGCGAATTCTATTGGAAAAAGGCAATAAATCAGAGATTTGAGTGTGAAGAATCCTAAAGATCCACCAGCTGCTCAGCTGCAGAAATCTTCCAATTCGAATTGCTCGCTAAGTGGCAAAGTGCCGGAGAGAGATCGAAAAAGAGAGAAAATGAGTAGAGGTTTTGCTAATGGCAGCGAGCAACCTCTGTAATAATAAGAAGAAAGAAAATGGGACGAACGGTAGAGGAGATCATACGATGATGATGCTTTGAACTGAAGTCACAATACATTGACAAAATTATTTTACTTATTTATATGAAAGATAAATTAATATTATTAGTTTATTGCTCCTAAAGAAAATTTGGTACGTAATTTGATTTGGGTAATACATTACACAATTATTGTTTTTTATGTATACGTATATTTTAATTAGCTATGGTTATCTTTATTTACTTGTTTTCGATTTCATATATGTATACTCGATGTAATTTCATAAAAAATGTAAAGATAAAATATATACATATTTTGTTTTTATTGTAGACTATTTTTGATAAAAAAATTATTTTACTTTTAATATAAATATAATTATATTCTTTTAATCAAAATAGTGATGACTCCAATGAGAAATTTTTAGTTATGACCTTTACATTCAAATCAATATACATTACAATAAATAAAGGATTTTATGGTAATTATTTAGCGATAGTACTATTCTACATAAATGTTGCTTAAGATTTTTGCGACTATGAATTCTTTAACTCGATTACCACAAAATATTATGGGAATAAATATCATCACTAAAAAAATATTTTATCACTAAATGTATTATTTTTTTTGTATTGATACAATCCATGTGAACAAAAAAAATCATTTGCTTGGCTTTATAATGTTACTTACTTGGTACTGTATAATTTATTTATTATGCAAAGATAAATATCTAGTATAATGACTTGTTTTTTTTTTAACTGTATACTTTATTCGTTCACTTTTACTTGTCAAATTTATAACTGACACACTCATTAAAAAAATAATTGATATGATCATCTTTTACCCACTGTCACTTTATTAGGGGCGAAGTTACGGTGGTGTCAGGATGTCTAGCTGGACACCTTTCATTGAAAAATACATACTATATATAAGTTAAATCTTACTTTATATATATATATATATAGTATTTTGAACGCCCTCAAAATTGATGGAGACCTATAGCACAATAACAAGGGTATCCACGAAACTTACATGGTGCCCAAATTTGATTCCTTGCACGCGTATTTTTTATTATTATTATTATGGTCTGCTTCAAATCTGTTAGATATTTTTTAAAAACACATCTTCAATGTGAAGTGAGCAGTAGGCAGTAGCTCAATGATAATTGTGTGCAGAAGTATGCAGAGCATGCAAGATTGAATTCATATGGAGTTATTTACTATCATAAGGTTGGACACTCTTCATAAAAAAAAATCGGAATACATGTCACTCTATTAGGCGAAAATAAAAAATAAAATATACAGCCGATGGCAATTCCTATTGTTTTCTATTTATTTTGACAGAATCGTTATAGTACCAAGATGACCGCATAGCGCAGTGGATTAGCGCGTTTGACTTCGGATCAAAAGGTCGTGGGTTCGACTCCCACTGTGGTCGGATGTGTTTTTTTACAATGAAAAATGTTTTCTGAGGCTGCAGTGCTTCATAAAATTTACACATAAATAATGGTACAGTTACATGAAATTACAATGCGGTAGATTAATTTGATATTTTAAACAAAATATTTAGATATTTAAAAATTATACAAAAATACTATAAATTGCAATTCAGATAGAAATAAATCAGATGGATCTTAATTCTTAAATTGGTTTTAATATTCCACATAACTTGGATCTAATTATACCAAGGCAACAAAATGACCATTTGGTTGTATAGCGCTCAATTCTCACCTCTCTATCAATGTTTGTACTTTCGAAATATTCACTATTAAAAGAAAAGGTCAAAATTGATCCGACTTAAGTTTGTAATTCAAAAAAAGTTTGATCGGAAAATTAAACCAACCTTGGAAGGATGTTTTTCCACTTAATCTCAATTCTCAATTATGCCTTCACGTTCAATATTGAACACTAGAAATCTTGAATTGACACATAAGCTCCATTATATATCAATACATAAAAAAAATTGAAAAATACATTCTTTTTTATTCAAATTGCAAAAGCATAAGAGATCTAACACCAAAAGCGAGCAAATCAATTTAGTAACAAAAAAGCTTAGAAAGTAATCGAATTCCTCCAAAAAAAAAAAAAAAACATCTAAAAAAGGATTGTAAGGAGTCACACAAGGAATAATAAATAATAATATCATCACTTGACAGACAATCATACAACAATGTAGAAGGACAATCAATCACTAATCACTCACTAAGAACCTTCAAACGATAAGACGAAAATGCCAAAAGTGATGACATGAACGAAGTCGTTACTTCAGCACCGTCATTCTCAATTTTTAAAGAGATGCAATTTGTGTAATTTGACAAAACTTCGAAGTAATTTAATTTTGTGTTTTGTTTTTCAGTATTAAATCACAATAATAATAATATAATTTTCAAAATATATTCCAACGTTTGTCTACATTAATCACAATAAGATATCTGAAAACTTATGTGGAACATGATTTCTTCATTTGTTAAGCTAGCTAAATCGGAATAATAATTATAGATTTTCAGGAAAGTTTTTAATACTTTTATTCTATAACTTTGTATGATTCAAACATAGTCTGATACTCAGGGGTGGACCTACAGTGGTTCAAGTGGGTTCATATGAACCCACTTGGTTGAAAAATAACACGGTATATATATGTATACTTAATCAGTTTTTAAAATTTTATATGTATATATTAAATTTTGAACCCACTAACACAAGTCTGAAGCTTAGCCGAGTGGTTGAAGGGTTTCAATTTTCCCAGCCAACCTGGGATCGAATCCCCATTGGCACATTTTAGTTTTAATTCGTTTTTTTTATATATAAAACGTTCACACACAGTTTTGTCATCTATGTAGGTGTAACTTTTGTCCTTTTAGTTACTTAGAAACTATAAAAAGTAGAATAACTTTTTACTTTTACAATTAAAAGTCCAATAGTCAACAACTTTTGTCCTTTTTGTTTTTAATTTTTTTATAAAAAAAAAACTCAATCAAAAAGGCACTAATCCCTATTATTCTCAATTCTAAAAACCCTTTTGTCTTCTTCTTTGTTGAAATCTTCTTGAACCTTTCTTACTTTTTCCCCCAAAATTTTGAGCATATTTTTTTATTGAAGAAAAAAAACTCTCTCCGTCTCTCAAATCTCGCATCAATAGTCAATATCCATCAAGTATGTTTTTTCGCTCTTGATTCTAGTCTTTATATATACATATATGATTATTGTGGTTATTTTTTATTTCTTCAACTAAAAAATCCCTTATCATTCTAAAATCAACAAAAAATTACAAATAATATTAGGTATATTTCTATGTATTCGATTATGTAAATTAAGGTTATAATTATTTTGTTTAATATTTTGTTTTTATTTGTTAAAATGTTGAATGAAGAGAAATCATTCATAATATTCTTTATCTTCTTAGTTTATATTGAAGCCTAGTTTTTCGTCCATCTTATTATTTACCGTCTCATTCATAAGTCAATATAATTTTTTTTCAAGTGTATTAACATTGTTTAGTATAGTCAGATATGTATGCTGTTAGCCTCATAAAAATTACAAATAATATTAGGTATATTTTTATATCTTGAACCCACTTCGTGAAAATCCTGGGTCCGCCACTGCTGATACTACTAATAATTATGCAATTTGTATATTATGTACTTATTGATATGGGTATATGCACAAAGCGCATACCTGTTAGAATGAATGCGGCCAATCAGTGAAATGAATGCGGCCAATCAGTGATCACTGGATCAGGTCCTCCGACAGAATAATAGTGCGAAAAATAAATAACTCAAAGTAAATCAAGCACAAGGATTTTACGTGAAAACCTCGTTTCTCAAGGGCAATGAAAACCATGACCTGTACTCACATGGTTTCAACCCAAACTTCATTCACTCAAACAGAGCAAAGTTTCAGATTACAAACTCTTGCAACCTAAGAATTAACTCTTAATCCCTTCCCCTTTACTGTAACTCTACTACAAAGGAAAACAAAGCAATAACTCTATTGCCCACTAAACCAACTCTAGTTGATCTAGACTTCAAGAACCCAACAAGGCTAACTCTAGCCACCAACTTCGATTTCGACGATAGGAGCATAAACAAGCAGCAACCCTGCTGCGCCACACATTAACTAATTCTAGTTGACACTCCTAGGCAACTCTACCCAAGAAAACATCAAAACAATGATGTAAAAGGCTTGACTAAATCGTAGATGATTTTACTAACTAACTCTAGTTAATACGACTCAAACTAAAGACTTATACAAGTAACCGATCTACTATCCTTTATAACTTAGGAGTAGATTTACAATATAAGAACATAAGACACAAAACTCAAAATACAACGACGAAACTTCAGCACTCCATCAGGTCCTTTGTTGAGTATGAGCAGTGTTCTTCCTTGAAGATGACTTCTTCTTTTTGAGCTTATGAATTTTCAGAAATTCAAAACTTTGTTTGCCAAATCTTAAGTTTGTGTTTAGAGAAGAGAGTATTGTCAAATGGACACAAACCCTTCGGACAAGACCATTGGCTGAGAATTTGCTACTTTGAAAAGTCGTGCACCAACCATGTCATATGCGACAGCTGTCTTTTGACTTTTTCATGTACGCAGTTTGTCCTCGACCAGGTCTCTTGTTAGATCTGAAAATTTGTTAAATCATCAAAACTTCAAATCAGCTTAAAATAACAATACCCTAACACTAGTACGTTCATACATATATATTGCGATGTGATGTTATAAACTCAGCATATAGTGTTTGTGCATGTAGTAGCTGTACGAATTTAGCACTTGTTATTAGGGAAAAGGGTCAAAAATACCCCCCCAACTTTGGTTTATTGTTTGACTTTACCCTCGCCGTTAAAATGAAGTTAATTTTACCCCTCCCGTTACTAATTTCACCAAAATTACCCCTCATTTAGACGGAATCCCCAAAATTGATCCAAAATTGACCCCAATTACCCGGATTTTTTTAAAAAAAACCTATTCCCTATTTTTTAACCCAATGACCCGACCCCCTCTAGGATAACCCGGTACCAATTAACCCAATTACCCATTTTCATTTACCCATACCCTCTCTTTAAGAT